GAAGTGTTATCTGGAGATCCAGGTTTGGGAGGGGAGGCCTAAGAGAGGCCACCTGATTGGCTCAGGTTCTCTAGGCAGGTGCTGCGGGCTGCCCTTAGGTGTAGCATTAGCTCAGTTCCTCAAGGACCCTGGGGAAGTAGAAGGAAAAGCCATTCTCTTCTACCCTCTGGCCCTGAATGGGGGCCATGGCCCAGCAATCCATGCAGAAACCTCCAGAGGATGAGCTTGGTACAGGCTGCTGGAAGGCTGTTCTCTCTCATCTCTTTCTCCTGAGTGTGTGCCCCGGATGTAAATAATTTACAATGGCAACAATTAGAAATGTGCTCTGTGTGGGACGAACCGGTTTCCTCAATGACACCGCAGGCTTATATATAGCACAGTTCAGCAGAGTGCCTCACGTGTGCGCCCTGCTGCAGCCTGTGGACCAGAGCATCGCACAGCAGCGGGTCTGTGACTCACCAAAGGTCACAGGGGGTCAAGGGTAGTACTTGGAATAGAACTGGCCATGTGTTCCTGGGCTCTGAACTCGAGCGGCAGGAAATTCCCTTTGTGAAGAACAGCAGAGCCAAATGCATGGTGGAAAATGTCCAGGGTTGTCTCTACAATGTGCAGATTAGGAAATTTGGCCCTGGAATGTAAGAGTTTTTATTTATAATATATTTAGTGTTTGGTTATTGATTTCAGAAGCAGAATGCAAGTGACCAGGGTTAAAGACAAATATATATGATTTCCTTTTTTTCCAATGTTGATAGAAATGGGGAGATAGATGAGTGACCTTCCCAAATGGGGTTGTAGAGCACAAGCGTTCATCACACTGTCCTCCAGTGCCCAAGATAAATGGAAGAGGAGCCGCATGAGTCATTTTAAAGTTTCTAGCAACCACATGAAAAAAGAGATGGGAATAATTCATTTAAATATCTCTTATCTAATCTGAAACATCAAAACTAATATTTCAGCCTGTAATCAAAATAAGCATTAGGAAGACATTTTACTTTGTGCTAGTCCCGGGCTCTGAACTCTGTGAACTCTTTGAAATTCTGTGGATGTGTATTTTGTACTTAGAGCCCACCCATTTGAACTGGCCACAGTTAGCAAAAACCTTGTGAGCCGCATGCGGCCTGTTGCTCCAAAACTCCAMTTCTAGCTGCTATTTGCTATCATTGTGGCATTGAACCAGTTCCTGAACCTCAGTCTCCCCTCTCCTCCAAGTGTAAATTGGGGACCAGAATGACTTCCTCTCATGAAATTGTCATAAGGGAACATTAGCAACTGGTGTGATCCCTGTTGCATAGCAAATACTCACTTAATGCATAATTCCTTCCTTAAAATGACTTTCGTGGCATCTGAACTCCCTGTGGGAGACTGGACTGAAACCTCACCTCTGACTGTATCTGAACATGAACCAACCCTGGTCTCTTTTTCCCTTCCTTCCACGGACATTTCTTTGTCCCTGAGGCATCTCTATCACTTATTCCTTCACCTTCTTCATGACTCTGCTCAGAAGTTCCTGTATCAGAGATGCCTTTCCTCAACACTCTGCATAGGAAACCATACTCTCTCTCCCAGCCCCTGTGACCTGCTCCGAATATATCGAGCCTACTCCTTCCCACCTCTTTCCCCAATGGAAAATCGTATCCTCCCAGAGCGCTGGGTTGAAAACAATTTCTCTGACCTCTATTGGACTTTATTTCTTTCTTATAGTATTTATGGAGAACATTTTATATTGGAATCACTCATGAGTGTGGCTTTCCCAAGGACAAGACCTAATTTCACCTGGACATTGGGGTGGGGAATCCAATTACCATGGTACAGAAATTTTAATGAGATACACACAGGTTAAAATCCTGCATCTAACACTGAGGAGTTGTGAGCTTGGGAATGTTATTCAGTGCTTATTTGTTACAAGATGGAACAGCTGTACCACCTTGTGAAACACACCTTTCTTAACATCTGCTCCTCTTTGGATTCTTAGGCTATTACTAAGAAAACAGACAATTTTAAAGCCAAGCACACAATATATGCAAAACATCAGTCATGTGACTCTTATATGATCCCAAGTCTCCATGACATTTAATGCTAACATGGTCTTGTTTATAGAACAGGGGCCACATTGCCTATCATCATATCTCATACAAAAACATTTAGGTAACAAACATACTAGTCTTTGTTCTAGTTCAACAAAATATTCCTTTTTATTAAGACGTTCTTTATAGAAAACCTCATTTTTATTTTCAGTGCTCTGTGGATCACCATGACTTTCTAAGTCAATAGAGATATTCTCTGACTTCTTCCATGTAATACTCATCTATACCTAATAAAAGGTAGTGGTATCATAGACTCCCCAAATGAATCAGACACAGCCTCACACATCTACTGCACTGCCAACATTAAGTGGCAGAATGAGAGTCCTTAACGAGTAATTAGAAGACAGGTGTCCCGATTCTCCACCCAGGCCATGGTCTGTATAAAGGGATTGGATTTGATCAGAGTTCCTCAACTTTTACATGATTGACATGTTGGTTCCAGCATCCTTTGTTGCAGGGGTCTGTCCTGAGCACTGTAAGATGTCTGAGAGCACCCCTGGCTTATACAAACCAGACATCAGCAGCATCCCCCTAATGACAATCAAAGATGTCCCCTGGGGGAAAAATGGTCCCCACTTGGAAAGCACTGGCTGGGGCTTTTAAATCTTAGCTAATTCTAGGACTGTGGGTGAAGCTTCACTCTCTTACGTACATACATGTGCGTGAACACACACACACACACACACACACACACACACACACACGCGCACATCCACACCACTGTTCCAGGAACAACCTTATTCCTGTCCCACTTTTGACAGCTGCAATGTTCTCCATCCTGTTTCCTTGCCATCACAACTCAGCATTCTCTCCAAGCTCCCACCCGCACCCCTCACAGCAGAAGCTATGGAGAAGGGCTGAAGGGGTGGCGTGCTGCGATTTCAGCCTACTGTAGCTCCTCACCACAGGGAACTCTGAACGGTCGCCTCCACCCCCTGTTTGCCACTCCGGTGGGCTGTGGCAGACAGTCTTGGCAGCTGCGGCTGTTACAGTTCTGAGCTCAACATGGAAGCCTTTGTTTTAGGCTCTGAACGAAACTTGAGGCCACAGCTTTTTCCAGCCCACTCCTCTGCACACGTGCTTCTCTCCTCTGCCCTGACAGCTGGGGCTTGCTGCGACAAGTGGATTTTTGTGGCAACTCGTGATAAAATGGTGCATTTGTGCAATACAGGGAAATATTCAGTTGGGCAGGAAATCTCTGTCTCTCTTTGATTTTTTTTTCTTTGTTTAGCTTTATTTTCCTCCCATAGTCAGCTGGAAGAGTAAATAAATAAGGTTTGCTGTTTAATCGTGTGTGGAGATGGTTCTGCAGTTGACAAAATGTTTGTGTCCTCATTATATTTTTACATGGTAGTCATAAACATCCAAGATGGAGAGAGGGGACGTGACTGTTCACAGCAACATGGTTAGTCAAGAGCAGAAACMGTTTTCAGAGGTTCTTGCTAGTTAAAATCTCACAGACCAATGAACAAGACACAGAGACAACGAAGTATCATATGAGATGATAAGTGCTGATGCACACTTACAGGAAAGGAGCAAGTAGAGCTGAGTTTAAGGAATAACACTTTTAAAAGGAATTGAAAACAAAGTAACGACCACTGAAAATCTGACCTTAAGTGGTTACTAAAGGATTTGGGTCCCCAAACTATGGGACCACTGAGATCAACATTCCCTAGCAGAGAATAGATTAACATCGGGATTAGCCTTCATCATCATCGATATCCTCCTTACCATTCATGCCATTTTTTGAGCATTTATTATATTCCAGGCTCTTAAAGGGGCACATTACATAAATTATGTCATTTGATTATTATATTAGTCCTGTGTATAGGTGTTATTGTTAGCCACATTTTACAGATGAAGAAAATAAGAGAAGTTATCTTGTCTAAAACAATACCACTGATAGTTGGTGCAAGGTAGATGCAAAGCCTTTCAATATGGAGTAGGATAAGCTCTCTTAGAATAAACAAAATGAGAGGTACCAACAATACAGCGTTAAGCTACTGAGGAGATGAAGCTAGTGATGGGAAGATAAAAAGTAAGACTGGGGAATTTTCCAAAGGCAAGGCATGCCTTTGTGATTTCCATGAGGAACCTTCCCCTAAGCTTTCTGTTGGACTCTAGCATTTCTCCAATGCATTCCCACATTTTGCCCGATACCACCCAGTAAAACTGGTGTGCAAGACCCCACCTAACCCCTCCTCCTTTAGTTTCCCCTTCAAATGCCCTCTGAATGCTGGGAACACTGAGGCTTAGAGGCACCACCAGTTCTTTGATCCCAAATTTCCTTGGAGTCTGGGAGACACTACACTGAGCTGTATAGAAGCTACCCCAACAAGCTCCATGAACTCATCTCCAAGGTATCCAGCCCAGATAGGCATGAGGATAACCTACCATGAAATTTGGTGCATACATCTGATCATGCAAAAGCAAAACACTCATCTGTGTGAATACATCTGTGTGAGAGGAGAGGAGAAAGGAACTCTTGTTTATTGAGTCTCTGTGATATGCACAGCAGGTTGTGAAGATGGAGGTTGAGACAGAAGCTCAGGTTCTGTGTCTGTGTCTCTTACCGAGCATAGGAGACTTTGTTCCTGCATTAATTCCTTTCACCTATTCTTTCAACACATCCTCAGTGTGACACATGARGACAGTGCCTTCCTAAGAGACTAAGGGGTTTACAACATGTGAACAGCCAAACAAAGCAGGGTTGGGAGCCCAGATCTCCATAGAGTGTATGGCTTTAGGCACAAACCATACTGACCTGCGTAAACTTTAATGCATTCTGCTAATGGAAGGGATCATCGTGGTGAAGATGTGTTAACTTTTTTCTTCTCTCTTGTCTTCCCCCGACTTTCCTCTCCTCCTCCTCCGCTTCTTCCCTCCTTTCTCTCCTTTTGATTTTGTTCTCTACAGGACTCCAGAGAATGGAGCAAGAATGAGAGGAAAAAGGCCGGCAGAAAAGCATGAACTGGAGGTTTGTTGAGCTCCTCTACTTCCTGTTTGTATGGGGCCGTATCTCAGTGCAGCCCTCCCACCAGGAACCAGCTGGGACAGACCAACATGTCTCCAAGGAATTTGATTGGCTTATTTCAGACAGGGGGCCTTTCCACCACTCCAGGAGCTACCTATCCTTTGTGGAAAGACACCGACAAGGATTTACAACCAGATATAAAATATACAGGTATGACGGAGGCTGAAAGAACCCTCCCCTTTCCTTTCTGTTGGGCTTTGTGGGGTCAGGCCCTGCCACACCCTTGCTGCTGGATAAGTGTCCGAGTCAAGAGATCTTGTCCCTTTTACAGGCTGTATTTCATTTTGAAAAGTAAAAAAGAAAAAAAAATTGACAATGACAAGGAGATGATCAAAATATCAGATACCTAATATTTATCCAGTACTTGTGTGCTGGGCATGGTGCTTAATACTTACTATTTATTATTTCATTTACAATTTCTAATAATTATCTAATGTAGATTTTGGTAGTTTTCTCTACTTTTCATCTTATGTAACTGAACCTCACCCAGGTTAAATAATGTGTCTAAAGTCACAAAGTCAAATAGGTGGTAGGACTGGGATTCAAACCCTACTTCTGTCTGCATCCATCGTTAAGATGATTCTCAACCACGGGAGGCATAGATAGCCTTGTTTTACAAATGCTGCTAGGGAATCTAAGAGCCTACTCTAATATATCCGTGCATTTGGGGAAAACAAGTAGACACCCAGTGAACAAACCTTTCTTCCAGAAGGTATGAACTGGGTCTTGGCTTATTGGAATCCTACTCAAAGCCTTAGCTCTCTACAAGAGAGAAAAAGTTTTCTCTACCCTCTGAAGGTTCAGTATGTGAGGAAGCTACATCACAAATTGACAGTAGATAGATTAGGAAGAGGAAAGGTGTTTACATTATGGGTATGCATATGTGGGAGCCCTATAAAATAAGAGACATGAAGAAGGGCCACATGATTGACATCTGTTTAGCATCCCGAGCTGCAGAAAGAAGTAGGGGACTGGGGTTTCTGAGGAGTGGTAGCAAAGAAAGTTATGAGAGGGTGAGGGGAAGAAATGATGGAGAACATCATTGTCTGGTTGTTCAGATAAAGTCTCTCTGGTAATAAAAGTCATCTCTCAGAGCAGCTCATTAGAACAAGAAGTGATAGCTTGTGATAAAATCTGTCTGGGCCTGTGTCTCCTGTCCTATGAGTTCATCTCCCTGGTTGATGAGATTCCTGGGGAAGGGATTCATGAACATTGAATTCTTTGGGGGGAGAATGCATCTGTAGGAGCTTGAGGGAACTTCAGTGAAAGCCCCACCTTGTTCTTTGGGGGAGAAAGAGAGACCAGAACCAGGAGGGCAGGGGAAGAACATAGAGACTTTGGCTCTTAGTTAGTTTGGAACATTCAGCATGAATAACGCCATGCTTTGAGGTACTGTTTCTGAGCTCCAATAGCTAATAGCCCCAAGTCCTTTCTTCTTTGAAACTCTTAGGTTTTCCACATTCTACTTACTCATGGTCTCCTTGATCTATTCACTGCTCTCTATACTTACTCCTACTTAACTATATTACCATTTGCAATGAGAGTGTATTCTTGTATTACAAACTATTTGGAATCTCCATGTATTCTTTTGTTTTTCACCTAACTGGAAACTCTTTGAAACAAATGTGTGTGTGTGTGTGTGTGTGTGTGTGTGTGTGTGTGTGTGTATGTAGGATTCATTCAATCTGTGTCCCCAGGGTGATTTTTACTCTGCCATTGTTATTATAAGCACACAATAAATAGTGTGGACTTGAATTAGTGCAAAAATTCTCTGGAGCTTTGAGTTAATGTCAAGGAAGAAAGGGCAAACCCTAACATTTCTGGGCTCGTTAGAATACAGGAGCTGGAAAGCATGGTGCAAGAGAGAACACTGGCCTACAGCTAACAAGGCCTGGATTCAGGTCTACAGGCTTCTCAGTTGGTATGAAGAGTAGGCCTGTCTTCCTGGCATATTTTGTGGTATTATGCACTGGGAGTGAGGGATTCATGAAATCTCTGCCAGCTGCATATGATACTATACTGAATATTCAAATCCTCCTCTGAAAATGGGCCCACAAGTGACTGAGGTCTCACAATGGTCCTGTTTATGTGAGAGTTCACATGAGCTTTCTGTGTGCCTTCTTGGAGGCTGGTCAGTATAATCAGAGAGTTATGTGGGAGAGAGACTTATCTCTCTGGGCATTATGAAATGGAGGAACGGACAGGAGAATGAATGTTGGACAAGAAAAGGGGGAAAATGTGCAAGGGTGAAAAATAGAGGGGCATTTCTTTCCTCAACAGAGAAGAAAGTCACAATTTTAAATATATAATGATGATTCAGTTTCCCTTGGGATAACTCTCCCCAAATTACCCAAGAACAGTAGTTATCTACTTAATTTCCATTTTGGATCCTTAAGTAGTCTCTGGCAGAGTGTGGACACTACTGTTTGTGTTTATGCATAAACCAAATATGGGTTCCCATTGCTCAAGAGGACACATCAATCTCAGAAATTCCCGATACTGGAGAGAAGGATGTGGGTTTGAGATGTTGGATTTGGGGGGACCAATGAAGCAGAGATCCCGATATTTCACTCTTTGTATTTTGTCAAGAAGTAACATCTTCTTGGTTTTATGGATGTCCTTCTTGTCTGTTTGAGCCTCTCCAGGACATTTTCAGGTTCAGATGACTAGAGTTTATATTTGCATTTTAAAGATGATTTGATGAGTGACTTTAGGAAAGTCAGGTAGTCAAGAGAAGTTACGGTCTGGGCTGGAAACAGAATAAGTCAATCACTACACTAGTGACCAGACCAGAACTGCTGGGATCCATTTCTTATTTACTAAAGTGTCTGAGAAAATGTGGTCTTCTTGTCTCTTTGCTAGACACTGAGGGTATGAGTGGGTCTGAGGATGCGTAGGCATGATATGACATCATATTGGTTATAGTGCAGTATTATAAGGACAGATATTGCCTCTGTTAGATGATCAATATAAATTGTTGTTGCTGTTGGACCAACACATTCTTAAATACGTACCTTAAGTGTTGCCATGCACAGAGGCTTGATAGCATCCTTTTATTGAGCACTTATAATGTTCCAGGAAAGGAGAATATTCGGTCCTCACAACATCCTCTACCATGTGGATAGCGCCTTGTCTTCCTGTCTTCTTCTTTTATTTCTTGTTTTTTCTTTTGCGATACTGGGAATTGAACCTGGGAATACTGTACCAGTGAGCTTCAGCCCTAGCTCTTTTTATCTTTTAGTTTTGGGACAGGGTCTTGCTAAGCTACCCAGGCTGACCTCAAACTTCTRTTCCTCTTGCCTCAGCCTTCTGAGTCACTGGGATTGTAGTGTGCGCCACCACATGCCGGCATGCCTTGTCATTTTACGGATGGAAAGCCAGGACTTGGGGAGGTTGGGTGTATTGCTATATTCATCCATCCAGTAAAGAGTGGAGCTTGGTTATAAATACTTGTCTACCTGACTCCAAAGTCCTTTAAACACTCTGCTGGATGTTCACTCCCCTCCCAAACACATCTGTATGGCTTCCACATGCAGAGCGTTTCCGAGCTCGGAAAGGGTGACTCCAAATATCCTTTATTACAATGGCCTTGTCAACATTTTGAAGGTAGTTTTGGAGATGTTGAGAGGTGAAAGGTGGCTAATGGAGGTTGGGAGTTGAGACCTCTGAATGCTAATGCCAGGTCTCTGTGTACTGGTCTTGTGACATTAGGCAAGGCCCTTCCTTTCCTAAATCCCACTTTCCTCATTTATCCCATGACATGGTTGATGTAGATCAGTGCTTTTCAACCTGTGCTATTTGAAATGCTGAGGATTGAATAAAGTAGCCATAGAAACTGCTGTAGTGTGGGGACAGGGGCAAAGGGGCCCTTCAGACAGAATTGCCAGCTTTTATCTTCCTTTATAAAGAAACGATTGGCATCTGCTTTTGCTTTTAATTTTTTCATATGCTTTATGTTGGATTCCATGGTTTAAACTAAATTTGCAATCATTCAATGAGCTCGTTTCTAAGATCCTTTTTGGCTCTGAAATTAAGTCTAAGATTTAACGAAGGTCACGTGGGTAATTAAATGATGGAGTTCGACCCAGAAGTCAGACCTTTGGTCATCTAGTTATTCTTTCCTTCCTTTATTTAATCCTCAAATAATTATGAAGCACCAGTTCTAGGCCCAGCACTGTATTTAGAGCAAATGATCCAATGATGAGTAAAATAAACATGGCCCCTTCTCTCATAGAAGAGACTGACATTAATCAAGCATATGTGTGCACATGCACTCACGCATTTACGTACACAGTAAGTGCTACGAAGGAAAATGTGCAAGAAACTGGGAAATAATGAATGCCACAAACAAAGATTTGGGCCTTATAATGTTGAAGGATTAGGTGGGGCTCTTGTCGTATCTGCACAGGGAACACATGCAAATGAGTACCCAGAGACCAATGCTCACCCAGGCGAAGGCCAGAGCAACCCCAACTAGGATGTGCTCCTGGGGACAGTTGTCGAATGATACTTTTTCCTCCCTGGTTGCTGCTTTGTTGAAACACCAAAGCATTCTCCAGTGCAGCTGTCTTTCTGTATGCTGACATGGATGCAAACATTAGAAAGTTGGCATTGCTTCATTAAAGAAAGGTCTTCTTATCAGGCTGCCATACTGCCAGGTGCCAGAGCCAGGTCTCCCAAGATGCCCTGGACCTCAAGTTTGAGTCAGTTCCTTCTGCCCCAGAAGCCAGCCTGGAGCCCAGAGTGACTTGAAAGCAGGGAAGGATGACTCCCGTGCTCACTAATGTAGGTGAAGGTCATCCTTTTCCTTCCAGGTGCTCTCTCTGGTTTTAGTTCAGAGTGCTGGTGACCGTGGTGATGAGGGAGCCTTTCCAACTGAATCCCAGCAGAAGCTTCCTCTAACGTTGTCTCACAAGCCAGGCAACACCATGAGCACATGCAGTGGATTGGGTACATGGGGTTCACACACTGTCACTTGATTATTTTCTCATTTTAGCTTGAGCTAAGAAAGGCTTGAGCTAACAGAGGCTAAGGACAGCATGAGCTGAGAAATGCTCAGGGAAGCTAAGAGAGTTGGCTCCCCCCCCCCGCCCCCCATGAATCTGCCATGGTGCAGTGACCACACCCTTTGCCCTGAAGTCAGAGAGCCT